GAAGATACGACGGAATCCCTGCATTTGCGTTCCCAGTCTCCGAAGTCTTGAACCCATCTCGACCTCGCGGCGTTCGGCCGAGGGGAGGGGTCCTGCTTCCAAATCCCTGACTACAAAGTGGAATGGCCACATTCTGACCCCGGCGAGGTACGGACGACCTCTGGCGGAGTCTGACAAACCCAAGCACACGGCAACGCCTTCCTTCAATGGGGCCCGTCTTATATGGGTCTCAGACCAAGAAGCTCGCCATCGTGGAGACTTCCAAGACCAGCGGCTAATTAACGAGCCCCCTAGGCTTCCGAATAACCTCTCGAAGCCCGCCAAAGGATGCACATGTTTTAGCCAGGGGACGCCGTCAGGAGGATTCACGGCGATGGCTCGGACCAGAGGCTATTCAGACGTCAACAATGATGCCCCGTCTTTGGCTACTCATTGGACCTCTCAACAGACGTGTTAATTTGACTGCCTACAGCCACAAAGCTCGGCGGAGATGGCCGCAGGATGAACTTTGGTCGCGCATCTCTTGCCCTTCTTCAAACCCGGCTGCCTCCCTCCCGTTTTGGGAAAATCAGGCAGCAGACATGTGCATGTGTGTGGTGTGTCGAGCTTATTCCACGATCGCAATATACGACTGCCTTACAAGGCCGGCGGCAAGGCAAGCAAGCCTACGGCAACGCACGATGCAAGAGCACAACGCCCTTCCCGTCCCGCAGGTTCCTGGATCATTCTTCCCGGTGGCCGGGAGTCAGGCGGCGTAATGGGACTTTGGTGTTTCTACGCTATGGCTGCTGTCGTCGTTCACCATCCCGTCGGTTTCCACGGAGCGTTCCACTGCTTATCCCCCACGGAGAAGTCGGGACCAGCAGCAACAAGGTGATCGTGACGTTGAACGGGGTTCCGCGGGCGTATGCCCTTTTTCCCGCTTTAACTCCAAGCTCCGCCGTTCCATGCCCACCCCCCCTCCTACTCCCCGTCCCCGCGCGCCCCTGAATTCAGGTGGATGGTGCTAGGCAGCACCAAACGGCCGGTTTCTGGGAGATGACGAGCGGCCAGGCGATCCCGTCTCCCCCTTCCCCTGGAGTTCGGGAGAGTTTGCTTTTTGGTGCGGTCTGGTGCGGCCAGCATGTGCTGGTCTTTGTGTTGCTCATCGCCGGGTCGGCTCGTGGTGAACCTTTTGGCGATTGTAGGTATGGCCATGAATGTTGGCGGGTGCTGGGGAAAGTGGGAAGAGTTTTTGAGGTGTGGGTTTTGGAAATGGGACTTTGGTTCGCCTCGGTCTGGAGCCTATGTAGTGGGGTGATGGGGAGTGTTTAGTCTTGCGGGAGATGTGGGAGATGCGTTGATGTGTGCGTTTGAAGGTTGAAAGTGATTCTCGACGAACTCATGTAAAGCTCGTGTTATCGTGTCATTCCATCTTGGGTCTTCTTGAACTTCCATACAGTCGACCTGTGTGCTGCAGCTACCCTCGTCACGAGCGCGGAGGACATAATCAAGAGTCCGAGGCCATTTGTTCGCTCTGCAGATAATGCGATCGGTTGCCCGGTACAGAATGCAGCGGCCTAATGGTTCTAGGGTCAAGAGGCATCCGGTCCAAGTACATGGACGTGTCGCTCATGAACTTTGCGCACCAGAGCAAGTCCCTATCACGCCGACTTTTACGATGATTCGAGCCTGAACAACTGTCTACGGGTGACGAAAAGGGGCCCTGAAGCCGGCTCCCCGAGAGACCTTTGCCCTTTCTTTCAAAGCCATACGGAACTGGAAAGACTTGTTATGAGACCCTTGAGCTGCTCGAAGTCCGACCCCAATGGCATAGGACCATTGCCGTCTTGGGTACTTCTAAGAAGGCCAAGGGATATTTGAAGTGTCCGCCTGCGAACCATTCATGCTCTGCGTCTACCCTTCGAGGCCATCGCCGCCCGCCGCTCTTGCGGGTTTCAACGATGGCGAGGAGCTATATAAGTGAGGGTCTGTTATGGACGCATACTGACTCACAGAGCGAATGAAACGGATCCAACGGCTTCTTCTCCGAAAAGTACATCAGATACCACAGTCTTCCTACGCAAGCCGTGTCTGGCAGCCGATCTGGTCCCATCGTGTGACCATCTTCGTCCGTCCTCGAGTATCCCGCCAGAAACGAAGTCCAGCGACGAACGATACCACAACATCACAGACTCATGCAGATAGCACTATGTCTGTAGACATCGTCCTTACAATGACGCGATCGCGTCAGACGAAACCTGGCAGCTGTGGAACTGCGGGTTCTCCTTCGCCAGGACCGACATCATTGATGGAATTTCCTGTCTTTGTTCGCATCGAAATGGATTTGATACTGCTTCAGAACGGAGAACTCAATATCAAATGGAGTTAGTAAGTTGACAACGCATGGCATGTTCTCAAATCATTCCGGGCATTGGCGGAGTACGACGTTTTGCTAACTTCAAACTCGACAGACGCACCCTCAAAAGGTCGGCATAAAACACGACCGCTCCCCGAAGCATTGGTACTTTTTTAACAGTGATACGGAGGTCTTCTTCGGTGCGCACCAGCGAAATGATGAGGCGGTCTGTAACTTCTCCGTTTGGGGTATCGCGAGCCCAATCAAGACCTATACTATGACTTGGGATTCTCCACCAGGAGTTTCGCGTCTGATCCGACATCCGATCACTGCCGTCGCCCATCAGTAGTATATCCTGGAAGAATCAATGGAAAAGAACGACGAGAGATCTTGAGTGATGTCGCTTGTCAGTCGAAGTCGGCCCAAAGCATGATGGACACGCAAGTCGGCAGCGTCCTAGACGTAACTTCTAGGCATGAAGGCAGAGGTATATCGCCTGCGTCTCCATTGGCGTTTACAACCTGCCATTGCTGGTGACGAAGTCAGTGTTATATACTACCAAGGCAGGTCTGTAAAGGTCCTCGAGAGCTTCGTTACAAGAGGAGTGCTTGCGAAGGCGATACCACCGCTCTCAAGACCTCGTGTACTGTACAACTCGGTACCATGGCTAAGAGTCAACTCCGCAGAATCGCTTCAAATGATCCATCTTGGTCCGGGGTGTCATGTCTCTGAAATTGTGTTTCTTGTCACGTTCGAGGCGTTGAGATTGTTTCGAGAAGCGCCTAAACCCCTTCAACATCCCTCTTCTCCCGGCTTTGGTATAGTCCCTCGTATCGACGTGCTTCAAATACACGACCAATACGGTGCCCATCGCTGCCCTGCTATGCTGTTGTTCTATCCAGAAGTCACCTCCTTCGAAGTTCGCAGCTCTCGGTCGCCACCTAAGGCTTGATTGACGGGCGTTACCGTGGGCTTTCAAGTGCAAAGGATGGAGAAAGTGCCCAATAAATAGCGGCCCGTAGCTGCTGTACGGAATCCCATAAATATGGACATTCCGCATGAGCTTAATCACACAAAAATGAGGGTTATTCCCATACCGCCGGCTTCAGAAGAGCTAAGACGGTATGAGTACTTGGCTACACATCGGCGCCCCGTGGTGTTTTGAAAGTTTTCTTTGTCTTTGGTTCCTGTATATTACGGCCGAATCAACCAGTAGCAGGGACGAAAGCTAGCATCGAGCTTCGTGTTTTTGTACATGTCCATGCCCGTCATCCGCATGACATTGTTTAGGTAGTCAAGGCTGTATACTTCTTCAGCCCGGTGTGGAAGTTGGTTGACAATCCTGGTGGACGAAGAATACCAAGATTTGCATGTTTTGAGGATAGGACGTACGTTGCCATTTTGCATAGAAGTTGGGCCGGGAGCTTCTAAGGAGAAATGGGGCCTTGGTAACTAGACATCGGTCAGTCATGGAGTAATGCGCTGCCCTGGATGGCGATGGAGAGAGTCCTCTTCTCGCCCAAGTTTCTTAAAAAGGTCGAGTCCAAACCGGGAATGGCTCCCTCACAATAGATTATTGAATATCATCTTTTTTCGTCCGGAAACAATCTCAACTGGAAGAGTATGAGGCTACATAAAACGCAGCTACGAAGCCGAGATCATCACGTTCGGTGTATCAACATCGACTTCCTATCGCCCTCTGTGTCTGTCTGTTCGTGAGTTTTATGTGGACGAAGACGAGGCCATGGACGGTTTGCAGCCTATTAGATCCTTGCACTGCTGGGTTGATGCAGTGTTCTTTGAAGACTTAGATCTATGTCCGGGCACAGCCCTTCAAAAGGAGATATTTGTGAGAAGGCAAGCAATGTCCGACGTGGCTTCAGTGTCACTTTATACCTAATATGGTTTGATACTAAGTAAGGCTTGACGAGTTCGAACAATCCAGAAGTTCAGATCCTCTAAATACAGACTTTGAGCAAAATTTGTGACAAACCAGCCGTATTTCATCAGTTGCTCAAGCTCAGCATTGTATCAAGGACATGTCTTCGAATATTGGACGATGAGACTTTGAAGCATTCCAGCCTGGACATCGACTAAATGAGTCCGGCACGCAGACGGGCTGTTGGAGTTGCCCAGTCGTAGCTCAATACGAATGCAATCAGTCGGGTGCATAATGCCGATATGGACGCAGCAGCCATTGAAGCCTAGCAGTCTTCACCAAGTCCGCCATCGTGCCTCAACGCAACGCGAGATCTCAGTCTCATTAACACTCCATCGACGTTGCTCACCACTCACCTGACCACCCACAACACCTGCACGCTGACATCAATCTGGCCTGCAGACACAATCGACCCCAATGCTACTCACCGCACTTCGATCGCAAATGTGACGACAAACCTTGGCAGCATACACGCATACAGCCTGCATCAAGCCCACGGCGCAAATACGACGATACTCACCGTTCAACCCCGCCCGCGGATAGACGCCCCCCAATCCCCTCGCGCAGATTTACCCCGACATCCCCTCAATCTGGAGAAATCGCGGGGAAATTCTGTCCATCTCCAACCCCCACTACGACACCCAACCACACAACACTATAGAAATAGCAACCACCAACCGCATACCCAATCTCAAAAAATGGCACGCCTCGCAAGGTCTCACGATGGCACGCTTCGGCTGGCTGCTGGCCCTTCTCCCCTTCGCCCAGGCCATTGAGCCGTCACCGTCACGGCCCTGGGAGTCTTACATCAAATCTCCGTCAACCCGCCTCGTCCCCCCTAAACAAATCCACGCCATCACCTCTGACGCCGAGGTAACGACCGCTCAAGATGGATCCTACATCCTCACCCTCCCGGCAAACTCCCAAATCTCCCTCGAGTTCCCCTACGTTGGCGGCCTCATCTCCCTAAACACATCAACAAACGTCACCAACAGCACCACCGCGCACTTCTCCCTCGCCTTCGCCGAATCCCCCTCCTTCGTCCGCGAGATCTCAGACGACACAGGCGCCGTCCCGACCCAGGACTACGACAAGGCCCTCAACGTCTCCCTCGCCGCGTCCCAGACCTCCTACAAGATGCCCACGGAGCGCTTCCGCGGCGGCTTCAAGTACCTCACCATCCACGCCTTCGCGCCCGTCACCCTCTCCAACATCATCTGCCACCTCGCCTACTCCCCCTCCCAGCCGGACCCCTCCGCCTACCACGGCCACTTCCACACCCCGGACGACGACCTCCTCACCCGCGCGTGGTACGCCGGCGTCTTCACCGCCCAGACCAACATCGCGCCCCCCAACACCTCCCGCCACCTGCCCCAGGTCAACCCCGGCTGGGCCTACAACGCCACCCTCGGCGCCGAGGGCCCCATGCTCCTCGACGGCGCCAAACGCGACCGCGCCGTCTGGCCCGGCGACCTCGGCATCGCGGGGACAACGGCCTACCTCGGCCTCGGCGCCGTCGGCCTCGAGTCCGTCTACTACGCCCTCGAGACCATGTTCATGTACCAGAACGCCACCACCGGCGCCCTCCCCTTCGCCGGCCCGACCACCGGCTCCTGGCGCCGCGGCGCCCGCAGCGACACCTACCACGCCTGGACCCTCATCGCCTGCTTCAACTACGCAATCTTCACCAGCAACGCCTCCTGGGTCGACGCCCACTGGCCCGGCATCTCCTCCGGCGTGTCCTACATCCTCCGCGCCCTCGACGCCAACCCCATCAGCCTCGCCGAGCAGGTCGAGCCGAACGACTGGGCCCGTCTCGGCGGCGGCGGCTTCAACTCCGCCCTCAACGCCCTCAACCACCACGCCCTCGTCTCCCTCGCCTCCCTCGCCGCCGCCACCTCCCGCCCCGCCGACTCCCGCGCCTGGTCCGCCGCCGCCTTCCGCCTCAAGACCGCCTACAACGCCGTCCTCTGGGACCCCGCCGCCTCACTCTACCGCGACAACGAGACCGAAGCCGGCGCCCTCCTCCACCCGCAGGACGGCAACGCCCTCGCCCTGCTCTACAACCTGACCACCTCTGCGTCCCACGCCGCCGCCCTCTCCGCCGCCCTCACCCGCAACTGGAACCCCATCGGCCCCGTCACCCCCGAACTGCCCGACACAGTCTCCCCCTTCATCTCCAGCATCGAGGTCCTCGCGCACTACGCCGCCGCCCGCCCCCTCCGCGCCCTGCGCCTCATGCGCCGCACCTGGGGTTACATGCTGGACGCTCCGCAGATGACGGGCGGCGAGACCCTCGTCGAGGGCATGTCCGCCAACGGCTCGCTGTACTACCGCTCGCGCCGCGGCTACAACTACGACGCGGCATACACCTCCCTCTCCCACAGCTGGTCCACGGGGCCGACGCAGGCGCTGAGCTTCAAGGCTGTCGGGCTGGAGGTTGTCGGGTGGAAGAGGTGGGTGTTTAGGCCTATGCTGGGCGATTTGAAGAGTGTGAGGGCGGCGTGGGGTGATGGCGGCGGTGCTGGAGGGGAATTCGGGGCCATTGTGGAGGCGAGAGGGGATGCGATTGAGGCGGAGGTCTGGACGCCGGAGGGGACATCAGGCGAGGTTGAGTTGGGATGCGAGGTTGTGTTTGTGAATGGGAGGAAATTGGACGGAGTTGTTGAAGGTGGGAAGATGAAAGTAAGAGGGGAAAAGTGTCGTGTAAGCTGTTGAGACGAAAACATTAGCCTCTTTCGAAGAAACGCACTATTACACTAATTTACAGCTGAAATGAGCAAAAATCACGAAAGAAAATGGAGAGAACGCGATGGTAACCATCTTCATTCGAAAAGCGACGAAAAAGCAAAAAGCAACTGCCCCCTCACGGGATTGAACCGTGGACCTTCGCATGACGATGTGCGTACGAGTGCGACGCTCTACCACTGAGCCAAAAGGGCTAGCCGAAATGATCAACCGATTTCGGATGCTGGGAGAGCTCAGCAATCAGCTTATGATTCGCGTGAATCCGGTTGCGGAGTCAGCTTCGTCAAGGTAGTCCACGCGGGGTCAACCGCGGGGCTTTGCCTTCGATCGCCAGTAGATCTTAGGGCTGTGGCGATTGAGGCTGCGATGAGTCAGGTTGAGCGCTGTGCTGCAAAGCTCGTCGGAAGCATTGTGGCATCGAAGCTCCGGGAGTTGGGATTTGTGAACGCTTGGTGAACTGGCGCTCGCTGAGATTTTCATGCCTTCCTTCCATCAACAGCGCCAACTGGCCTCTGAGGGAACACACAAAAGATACAATCGGACCATGATTAACTGTTTTAACCGTTCCAATTCTGGCGTCTACCTCATCTGTCTCATGATCATGACGGGCTAACTAGAATACACCCATGCTTCTAAGCTGGGGGAATTATGGAAACATTCCGAAACCTTAAAAAACCGAAAACCGTCCAACTCCAATGAACTTTTCTCTGGTATCCGTATCATTCCAAACCCATTTAGTCAACCTCCTCCATGGCGCTGTCGCCGGTCTCGACGGCAGGCGCGTCGGCGGCGGGAGCACCCTCGGTCTTCTCCTCCTCCTCATCAATGTTGAGGCCGAGCTGGACGAGCTTGTGGATGCGCTCGGCGAAGCTGGCGGGCTCGTCAATGGTGAAGCCAGAGACAAGCAGGGAGGTCTCGAAGAGGAGCTGGACGATGGACTTGACGGTGCGGTCGTTCTCGCCGTCGTTCTCGACCTTGGTCTTGAGCTCCTGGATGATGGAGCTCTTGGGAGAGATCTCAAAGGTCTTCTTGGAAGACATGTAGGAGGACATGGAGGTGTCACGGAGGGCCTGGGCCTTCATGATACGCTCCATGTTGGCGGACCAACCGAACTGGCCGGTACGGATGGCGCAGGGAGCGCCGACGAGCTTGTGGGAGACAACGACCTTCTCGACCTTGTCGCCGAGGACGTTCTTGAGGGCCTTGGCAAGACCCTCGTACTCCTTCTCCTCCTTCTCGCGCTTCTCCTTCTCCTCCTCGGTCTCCTCGAGCTCGAAGTCCTTGGTGATGTCCACGAGCTTCTTGCCCTCGAACTCCTTGAGCTGAGTCATGGCGTACTCATCAATGGGGTCAACAAGGAAGAGAACCTCAAAGTTCTTCTCCTTGAGGGAGTCAAGGAAGGGAGACTTGGTGACGGCCTTGATGGACTCGCCAGTGATGTAGTAGATGTTCTTCTGGACCTCGGGCATGCGGGTGACGTAGTCGGAGAGGGAGGTGAGCTCGTCGCCAGACTTGGTGGAGTTGTAGCGGAGAAGCTTGGCGAGGAGGTTGCGGTTCTGGGAGTCCTCGTGGATGCCGAGCTTGAGGTTCTTGGAGAAGGCAGAGTAGAACTTGTCGAACTGCTCCTTGTCCTCGGCGATCTCCTGGAAGAGCTCAAGAGACTTCTTGACGATGTTCTTCTTGATGACCTTCATGATCTTGTTCTGCTGGAGAGTCTCACGGGACAGGTTGAGGGGAAGGTCCTCAGAGTCGACAACACCCTTGACGAAGCCGAGCCACTCGGGAATGAGGTCGGTGGCGTCGTCGGTGATGAAGACGCGGCGGACGTAGAGCTTGATGTTGTTCTTGGTCTTCTTGGTCTCGAACAGGTCGAAGGGAGCGCGCTTGGGAACGAAGAGGATGGCGCGGAACTCGAGCTGACCCTCGACGGAGAAGTGCTTGACGGCAAGGTGGTCCTCCCAATCGTTGGAGAGGGACTTGTAGAAGGAAGCGTACTCCTCCTGGGTGATGTCCTGGGGGTTGCGGGTCCAGATGGGCTTCTGCTTGTTGAGCTCCTCCTCCTCGATGGAGGTCTCCTTGACCTTCTTGGTCTTGGGCTTCTTCTCCTCCTCGTCATCGTCGACCTCCTCGACCTTGGGCTTCTTCTCGTCGCCCTCCTCGGTGGTCTCCTCGGTGGCGTCCTCATCAGGGACCTCCTTCTCGGTCTCCTTGGTGACGTGGAGGTAGATGGGGTAGGAGATGAACTCGGAGTGCTTCTTGATGACCTCCTTGATCTTAGACTCGTTGAGGTAGTCGGTCTGCTCGTCCTTCAGGTGAAGGATGATCTTGGTGCCGCGGCCAAGGGCCTCACCCTCGGTGTCGGGGGTGATGGAGAAGGTGCCGCCGGCGGACGACTCCCAGATGTACTGCTCGTCGTCGTTGTGCTTGGAGACGACGGTGACCTTGTCGGCGACGAGGTAGGCAGAGTAGAAACCAACACCGAACTGACCGATCATGGAGATGTCGGCACCGGCGGTGAGGGCCTCCATAAACTGCTTGGTGCCGGAGCGGGCAATGGTACCGAGGTTGTTGACGAGGTCCTGTGGGAGTCAGCAGCTGAAGGTGAATTGGGAAGTGCAGGTCTACTTACGGCCTTGGTGAAACCAATACCGGTATCGCGGATGGTGAGGGTCTTGTTCTCCTTGTCGGGGATGATGTCGATCCTCAGGTCCTTGCCCGAGTCGAGCTTGCTGGGGTCGGAGAGGGACTCATAGCGGATCTTGTCCAAGGCATCAGAGGCGTTGGAGACAAGTTCACGAAGGAAGATCTCCTTGTTTGAGTAGACGGTGTTGATGATGAGAGACAGGAGCTGAGAGATCTCAGCCTGAAACTCGAAAGTCTCGGGAGAAGACATTGTGATGGAGGATGTGGGTATCTAGGGCGTAACAGTCGTGATTCTGGAGAGGTTTGTTAGCTGGTGTTGCAAACGGCCGGGGTGGTTGGCGGTGAATGGCGGGGTAGAGGGGTCAAGACGAATTCGAGAGACGGACGCAATCAACGCCTCCGGACGAGGATTCTGGGGAAGATGGGATGCAATTGTGAAGCTCGTCGACGAGGCTGACGACGATTGCGACAGAAAATGCAGGCCAAAAAGTGAAAGAGGGGTGGCGTTTCTCGATGCTTGGACGGGGGACCGGGGACGAGGGGCAGCAGGAGGAGCAGCAACAGCAGCAGGAAGCAGCTTCTTACCTTGATGAACAAATCTTCTACGATGCGGCAGGTGTTTCGCTGCTCTGATCGAGATGGACGTAAGAGAAGAATGTGAAAAAAGAGAAGAGAGGTGTGTGATGTGAGGAAAAGAATTGGAAGAAGCGGCGACTTGGGGAAGAGGAGGAGGCTAAAAAAGAAACCCGCCTGGCCAAAGCAGCGACGCTCACCCCCCAGCTCAGAAATTCTATGCGATTCCATCACCTCCAGGCCTTCCAGACCCTTCTCTGATTCGCTTGCCCTGCCACCACAGCAACCGTGCGGGGGGCTTGATTGGCTGATCTGGGGGCCACCTTTAGCGGGCTGGATGGAGATGCACCACCGGGCCACTGCCTGCTGCGTAGGTGTATGGGCCGTGGTCCCTTCCAGCAGATGGAAAAAAAGAGAATGGGAAAGGCGCCTTCTGCGATTGCCCATTCCCCATTGTCCGCCGTTCGTTTGTCTGCCTGCCGGTGCCTTTCACTGTGCCATTACCACCAAGGGAGCTGAGGCTTGAGCTGTCTTTGCCAATGCCTCACAGACGTCCAATAGAACAAGCAAGCAAGCATAGGTACACAGCTTTCAGAGCTTCGAAGTCCTTCTGTCCAGGTAAGGCAGGCAGTGTCCCTCCTCGTCTCTTGCCTCTGGAAAGTGGCCCCCTCCCCTCAGTGGGGTATTCCATCCGGGCGGTCATCCTCTTTTTTCCATCTACGGTGCTGCCTGTCGCCATTACCCCTCCTTGAACATCTTGCGAATAGCCTCAACAGCCTCGATGTTGCTGGCATCTTCTGTCCTGTTCGTAGCCCACAGCATCTCAGGTAGTTCTAGATCCTTGGAGCGAGATGCGACGGCGTGGGCCGCCAGACACAGTTCGCACCCTCACCGTCTCCAATCCCGTCTCTGGTGCCTGGACTGGCGCTGGTGCCTACCTGCAGGCTGCCCTGCGGCAGACTAAGAGGTGCGGGCAGCGCCCGGGCAGGCAGCTTGGGTTGGTCAGCCCGGGCAAGGCCGTGAGGTCCCCTGAAGTGAAGGCCGCTAGGTCCCACCCTCCCGCGAGGCTGAAAGTGAGGCGTCCATCTCCGTGCCACTCGGTCTGCCTGTGCCAACGCATCGACACCCATGCCGGAGCTGCAATTATTGGCACAACAGGGTTGTCGCACGGTCCATGTCTTGTTGCGACATTGACAGCTTGGTCCGGGGGGCCTTCAGATCACATATTAGACCATGTTTGCCTGCGTTGACCGGGGCTATTGATCACATTCCTGGGGAGTTGCAGTGAGGACGCAGGGCGTAAGCACAGCCAGCCATCCAGCTCAGAAACATGTTTCTATGGGCTTCTCCCGACTTCCATTCGTCCTTGTCTTGGTTGCCAGCAAGGCTTGAATACTCGGTGTCAACAAGACTGAGCGATCCAGACCGAGGTTCTCAATTTCTCTAGTATGATCGCTCTTACAGGGATGAAAAGAAATCAGCTCCCACAACCGCCAGAGACACATCCGCCCTCAAGCGCCGTGTTGAGTCGATTTTTCTAGAACAGGCTGCAAAAACAAGAGATTGGAAAGGAACTCTCTCCAACTACGACTGCATCCGATTTCTAGGCTCCTCTAGTAGATCTGCATGCAGCTAGGTCGACTCCTGGATCTCTGTTGTTTCTTCAACACTACCAAACTCCGGCAGCCGGCATCGTGACCACCGGGCGATTAATCGGATGCCGGATCGCATCCACCCCGTGACCCCGCCTCCGCCTCCGCAATTCCGATGAAACGGCCCGGCCTCCCGCAACGCCAACGGCTATCCCGTCCGCCTGGTTAGGCACCTAAATCATCGCAATGCCTATGTGTCAAGCGCATGTCAAATTGTCTTCCAATAATATCAAGGACCTTTCGACGATGACATTCATGCCCAATGCTCGAGTCTGATACCCGCTCTAATGTTGTCGATGTATTTTGGTTCCTTCATTTTGTCACCTTTCCTTGAATAACCTAGCTCTCTGTTTGTTGCCTAGCTGCAACGAATGATCTCAACATGGGACACTCCTAAACGAGCGTCACTATAGCTGACGGTGATTCCATGCTGGAAAGGCCATAAAAGTCCCTCAACACAGCCGACGGTGATGCTGGTATCTAAATGCTTATTCATAGGATCTTAACCGCGGCCTCTATGTCACACCTTACCCCCCCTCGGGATCGACCGACTGGCTTATAACCCCAGGCTTCTTCGCGATGTGGAGAACNACCCCCCCTCGGGATCGACCGACTGGCTTATAACCCCAGGCTTCTTCGCGATGTGGAGAACAAATGTTCACAATCACCTCGCAAAGCCATACAAATGCCTCCCTCAGACATAGCCCCCAATATGTTCAAGTGGGCGATTTTCCCTAATATACACTCTATCCGCATCTACGCATTGGTATCTTACACCTCGCACCCGCGCACAAATCGATTCATAATACTGAAGAGTGCCTCATCACCTCTACTCCCCCTTCACCAAAACATCCCCAAGCACACGATACCTCCGATCCGCATAAACAAGCCCAAACCCCTCGCCACCCCCCTTCCTCACCCCCTCCACCTCCCCAACGACAACAACATGATCCCGCACCCTCACCACCCCCTCCCCCAGCACCCGACACTTCAACACAAACAGCACCCCTCGGCCCCCAAGCACCGGCGCCTCCCCATCCTCCTCCTCAACCTCCACACCACTCGGCAACTCCTTGAACACCTCGCCGTCCGAGTTCCCCCTCGTAAACCACTCCGCGACCCTCGCCCCAGCCTCCCCCTCCGCCAGCACATGCACATTAAACCGGCCGCCTAAATCCTCAATCGCAGCCAGCGTCCGGCTCGGCGTCCGCACGTTAAAGCTCACAAGCGGCACGGGGTCCATGCTTAGGCTCACGAAGCTCGACATCGTCATCCCCCGCGGCCGCCCGTCCCGGTCCGTCGACGTGCACACCACCACCGAGTGCGCCAGCCGGCGCATCACGCCGCGCAGCTGGTCCGGCAGCTCCTCCTTCATGTTGACCTCGTTCGTCGGCGGTGTCGGCGGCTCGGTGCGCCATGTACACGACGCTCGCGGCGGTGATGTGTGTATCGCTCGGAGGAGGTCGGAGGACGGTGTGGGTGTTCGGCCGAGGGGGCATTGCGGTCTCGTCGGGACAGGAATCTGGGCTGCAAGACGTCAATTGCACGCTAAACACCATGGAGAAGCAAAATGAAGCTTACACGCTCCGAAAAGAGCCCTCCGCGACGTCTCCCCGCAGACATTCGCCCGGGCCGTCCGGCGCAGCGCATTCCCCAGCACACTCATTGCGCGCCAGGTACCATGCCTCTGTGGTGGTTTCTTTACCAAATTCTGCTTCGCTTAATCTTTCAGTCGGTTGTAAAGTCGCGGTGCCTCAATCGCCGCTGTATCGTCTAAAATTCCGTTCGTCGGTGTAATTGTATCGTCCTCTAGGCCCTTGCAGCAGCTCCCAGAAGCTGTGATGTAAAGGGTCCCTCATCCCCAAGAGCCCAGAAAAAATCCTTATCGATAAGAACATCCCCCCCCCCCCCNACCCCCCCCCCCCCCGGTGCGCCATCCATCCAAACCCACCTCACCGTGCACGGAACCTCCCGGCCCCGAACCGAAATTTTGGCAGCACGCTCACCACCGCATCGCAGCATCACGAAAGCTTCACATCTGACCTCTCAATCCACCACCACCACCACCACCGGTCAATCGCGCCCGCCCGCCGCGCACCCGCCCTTCCCAAAATGTCAAAACTCCCTTCCCACCTCCCGAGGCCAACAAGCCTTCTCGCCCTCCGCCCAACCCTCACATCAACCGCCTCCCGAACCTCGCCAGCGCCATACAACTCCACAACGCCCACCCTCACGACAACGCAAACCCGCGCAGCAACCTTCGTCCCCCGCGTCCGCCGCCCCTACACCTTCACCCAGCTCATCCAGCTCTCCGACGGGTCGACCTACACCCTGCGCTCCACCTCGCCCACCCCGCTCGTCCGCTCCGCAAAGGACTCCCGCAACCACGCTCTGTGGCAGCCCACCGACAAGTCCCTCCAGAACGTCGAGGTCGACGAGGCCGGGAAGCTCGCCGCCTTCCGTCAGCGTTTCGGCCGCGCCTTCGATCTCGCCGAGGGCCCCAAGGAAGCCGAGGGCGGTGACGTCGCAAAGGCCGGCAGCGGAAAGGATGCCGCCGCTGCAAAGGACAAGGACGCCGCCACCGCCGCTGAGGACGACGCCTACGACCTCGGTGATTTGATCGGCGACTATGGCGCTTCCATTGACCAGAACAAATTGAAGTCAGCAAAGACCTTTGGAAAGGTCAAGGGTGCATCATAGACGTGGCGATGATGGATGACGGAACTTGTACGATGGATGATGGATGGAATGGTAAAACGGTTGGAGGAGATTCAGAGCGCCCAGGCTGCCCGGGTCTGCAGCGAGTCGGGGATTACGGAGAGCCCTGAGCCTATACCACTGGGGTCTCTACTGTCATATATGTACAACAACAATAAACAACCAAAGAAAGGCTCGACACATGCGCTTGGTTCCAAACTCATCCGGCCCCCCACGCCATCTCATGCCTCATAAGAAGAAGAAACTGCTGCTCTGCGTTGGAAGGATGGTGTAAGCTAGCTTTTTGCGCCGTAACTCTGCGCCGGCCCTCTAGTCGGAGTCGTCGTTGATAGTCGCACGAGCCCTGTCAATAGCTGTGTTGCCGGGCGGCTTGCCCGAGGACTGGATGACCGGCGGCCGGTAAAAGACCGTCTCGTCGTCCTCGGCGTCCAGCTGCATCAGGAATGTCTCCCATTTTTCAATCAACTGCGGCTGTTAGCATGTGTGCCTGTGATGTATGGATATGTGACGTACCTCTTTTTGTGCCTCGACCGCGCTCTCCAAGAACGTCTCAACTCCACTCTTGAAGTCCTCCACCTTCTCCCTCTCGAAGCGATCTAACTCCGCCCTCATCAGACGGCCCATGTCCTCAAACAGGAGCCTAGCCTGGTGGACCTTCCTCTCCGCATCAGCCACCTCGGCGCTGACCTGGTTCAGCCTGTCCTGCTGGCTCTTGCCCTGCCGCAGCAGCTTGTCCTGGGTGTTCTTCTTCTTCTGCATCTCAGACTCGGCTGAGTGCCACGCGTAGAACGCCTTTTGTCTCTGGCCGAAGGCCTGCTTGACGGAACCAATGAGACGGATGTACTCCTCAATGATGATACCAAAGGTCAAGACATCCTGCTGCGCTTGGCGGTCGTAGACGTCGCGGATGGTCAGCTGGAGCTCTGACAGCGCGTCCAGGGGCCCGGACAAAGATGGCGAAAGCTCGACGGTGGAGAGGGCGTGCAGGGACGCCGAAAAGTCTCCAGCAGCCTCCGCCATCATCTTTCGCTGGCCGACCATTGTCTCCATAGCCTTGAGCAGCGCCTTCAGCTGGTTCTCGAGTGCGTCGAGGTACACCTTGCGGTCGTGGAACCACTGCAGCCGTCAGTCGCGCACCATCCAGACAACATCACTGCACTTACATCATCCTGCTCAACAAACTTGCTGCTGCTGCCAACACTGATGCCCAGACTTCCAAGAACGCCCTTGCTCTCGGTGGGAAGTGGCTCTCTGCGCTCCTTGTGCTTGACATCCACGTTGAAGGACTCACTCTCGAGGAACAGCTTGAGGTCCGCGTCATGCTGCAGTGTCGGGTGGGCAGCGGTCTTGTTCAGCATCTTCTCGAGAGCAGCCCGACGTCCCTCGACAAAGTTACTCTCGAAACGACCGACGGCCTGCTTCTCCGGCGGGGGCGGCACAACGACTCCAGGGTTGTTTCCGTGCAGCGTGTTGTAGAGCCACAGAAAATCGCGGTATCTGCGCTTGACCTCGAACTCGGGCTGCTTGTAAGCCTTGGAAGACGTCTACACCACATTAGCGCGAGTCCGACCCATCATGCGTTCTTCCCGACTAACCTTGGTCCGCACCGAGTAGACGATATGCGAGCTGGTCAGGTCGCCGACCTTGTGCGGGTCGCCCACTGTGATCTGGAAGGTCGGTTTGCTGGCCTGCTCCACGCTCACGCTGGGCTGGGTATGCGTCCGCACGGGACTGGGATGCGCGGCCTGCACCGGCGGCGGCTGTCTTGGGCCAGAGGGGCGGTCGTACTCGTCGTCGTCGATGCGGTGCGGGTCGGCCGGTCCGGAACGTCTGGCCTGCTGCTGCGGCATCGTGGTGCGGATCACCATCTGCTCCTTCTGTGGCGGGACGGGCGGAGCGTCCAGGCCCGCGTCGGCGCCATTGTCGGCCGCGGCGGGAGCGCCGAGAGGACCCAAGGGGCCGAGAGGATCGTCGACGGCCTCGAGGCGGGTGGGCTGGGCGACTAGACGGCGGACGGGACCGGAGCGTGACGGACGGGGTGCGGAGGTCGAGCTGGGAGCGTCCGACTTGGCCTCGGCCTGCGACGTCGTCGTCGATTGCTCGTTCTGGGAGGAGGGCGCTTGGGAGCTGGGCTCGGAGGTGGGTTGCGAATCGCCCCAGGGCGACTCTTCAAGAGGATCCATGGTAAGTGTATTTGCGCAGTAATCGGGATACTCGTGGATTGGATTGGCGTCGACGAGATCAAGACCACGCAGGCGGATGGGGGAGAGTAGAGGGCGGGATGTCGTAGTTGGAGGTTACGCAAGGCAGGACAAGGCAGCACGGCCGCTTCTGGTTCTGGTCTTACCTCACCTTAGGTACTGACGCTCAATGCGAAGGTACCAGCTGCTCCGCACCATGTGATTCGCTGCTGCCCATTCGGTATTGGGAGCTACAGCCACAGCGCCCGATCGGGAGCCCCCAAAGGCCCCTGTAGCTGCCCCAGGCCAATGCTTAATGGCGTCCCCTGTAGTCATCACTCACCGCACACCGAAGCGGTGGGTGACATTCCAGCCTGACAAACGAAACATCGCGAGTAAGGAGATGAAGTAACTACCGATTGTATTTCTGATTTACAGAGACAGCTAGCATGCGTGCTGCCTGGTCTGGTTATCCTATAGAGACATGCCTGCCCTTCGTCCCCCCCCCAACGCCAAACTGGATGAAAGCAATCTAATTCCACCCGCCCAGAACATTATTCGGCGGCCTTCATCCTTCTTTTCAACGGTCGGGGTCGTAGCAGCCGCCGGCCACAATCAGGTTCATCCGCGTGAACTGCACCTTCATGACCGGTGTCTTCTTGGTCGGGAACGCGCTGATCTGGTCAGGCGTAATCATCACCTCCTTGCCCTTCTTCTTGCCACCGCTTGGTGCGTTGGAGCTACCACCAGCAGCTCCCTGAGTGCTTGCGTTCGGACGCTCCGTCTGTCCAGTGGCAGCGACGATAGTATCACTCCCCTCTTGCGCAGGTGCTGTTCCAACCTGTTGCTGGACAACCTTATGGCCCTCGGCAGGCAGTTCAACATCCCAGACACGCACAGAGCCGTCTTGTCCACCAGACACGAGAACATTGGACTCGACGCTGAAGCTCATTGACCAGATACCACCCTTGCCGTGGCCGCGAGACCGCTTAATCCGCGCGCCCTTCTGGATGTCCCAGAAGAATATGTTGCCGCTGTTATCGGCACTGGCGAGGATCTTGCCGTTGGGTGCGCACTCAAGTGACGAGATGTAATCCGTGTGTCCACTAAAGACGCGGACGCACTGGCCAGTGACTACCGACCACATGCGAACCGACTTGTCCGTCTCGTCAGAGGCGGTGAACACGTAGGTACCGTTTGGATGCCAGGCAACCGCAGAGATGCTGGAGTCGTGTCCGACAAGGATACGCTGAGCCGAGGCGTGGTCCTGCATCCAGATGCGAGCTGTCTTGTCCCAACCGCCCGTCAAGAAGTAGTGTCCGTGAGGGCTCCAGCTTGCTCTCAGAACGGGACCGTCATGACCCTTGAAGACGCACACGCAGGCCCAAATGTCCAGAGACCAAATGCGAACGGTCCCGTCGGCGGAGCTAGACAGCAACAGCTTCGAGCTGGTCTCAATGGGCTGCTCGCCCTTGCCCTCCTCGCCGAACGGCGCGTGTTCAAGCTTGGCGATGGCGTCAGAGAAGGAGACGGAGTATACCGGTCCAGAGTGGCCAATGAGCTTGCGGTTGTTGAACTTAAAATCCTTCTCGTCGGCTCTCTTTGACTTGAGCGCCTTGCCCTCGAGATGCCACACGCGGATGTAGGAGTCGGTGGTGCCGACTGCGACCAGCTCGTGGTCTTGGGAGAAGTCCATGCATGCGACACTGTTTGGTTAGCTGCGTTTACCAGCAAAGAAGAGACGAGATTTACCTTCCGAGAGTGTTGTGGAATGTAAACATGCATGCGCTGACGGGAACGCCAACGCCACCGGTGCGGCCCTCAATCTTGAATCGATCGCGATTTTCTCTAACCTTCTGCATCTCCATTACAACATCGCGGGCGCGGGACGGGGGAAGGGGCAGGTCGCTTCTGTTAGGGCCATCCGCACTCTCCTCCCTCTTGATCTTGCGGTCAAACTCGTCGACCAGAGTAGACCTGCCATCGGGCGGGGGGTTGAGAGCGTCCTCGTCAGCAAGCTCAGCCCGGACGTCGTCACGGAGATCTTCCTCCATTGGCAAAGCACCCAGCTTCAAAGGCGCAGTCTTGTCGAGCAGGTCTCGATTAGAGATACCCGTAAAGGCTCCAGGGATTCCCTCCTGCAGGTCGACCTCGTCAAAGTCCAAGTTCTGACTTCGTCGGTAAATCGCCTCGAAGCTGAAGGGCTCGATAGGCCCACGAGAGGTCGAATCCAGCTGACAGAAGGTCTGGAGGATGTAGGTGATGACAGCGCCGCCGTTGTCACGCTCGCGCTCGAGGAAGTGGAAGAGATTGCCGCTAACATGCTGGTTCAGGGGAATGCGATACTTGTTCTCGCGGTAGAGCTTGGTGGTGGGGTTCTCCTTGGCGTGCAGGGCCAGGGTGACGGTAGAAAAGGTCTTGAGGTCGTCGCCGTGGATGTTCTCAAAGTATGGCTTCAGGGTGTTGAGGAGGCTCTTAGCATCTTCCGAGTAACCTTGCGTAACCAGCTCGAGCCAGGAGTAGACGAAGACGGGCCAAAGCAGCTTATTCAGCTCGAACTGGGAGGTGTTAGTATTGATAGATAGGAGGAGGCTGAGAACACACCTTGTAGATGTCGAGGTTGTTCTCGACCCATTCGCGCAGCAGGTTGAAGGCCTTGAGGTACTTCTTCGGGCCTAGATCGTCGACTTTGTTGTGAATGGGTCGACCGTCCGGGCCCAGATGACTTGATTCTTGGCGGAAGATGGTCTCGGTACGGGTATAACCCCTTTTGAGAAGGTAGTCTGTGACCTAAAGCTTTTGTTAGCAGTAATCCAAGGATCGTTGAGACGTGGATCAAGATGCGGGATCAAGATGCGCGCCTTGTGCCTCTCCCAGCCATATTTTTCCAAGTCGTAGAGTATCTGGCGTCATACTTCTCTATGCACCCTTTTCCGGAATAGATCATCAGGAGCCTGCACATGTTGGGCCACTTGGACCGTTGCAGCTCGCGACATAATTCCAGATGCGCAAAAGTCGTTACAGAAATGATGCAGGGTCGACAAATGAGGCGGTGACGATGTTTCGTCGTGGCTTCTGACAGGTGAAACTGGTGCAGCACATGGGAGAGCGAGACCCTTTGTGGACAATCTCACCTCATCACACTCGTGATGAAAGGGCCACCGTCGCTACGGCCACCTCGCAGGCAGCACCTTCCCCATCGACCTCACCCCGCCTGAGAATAAACATGGAAAAATAGGGCACCTACGATCTGATTCAGATTTTGATTCGACATTGGAGCGGCAGCAGGCGCCGGCGCGGGCGCTGGTGTGGTGGCAGGAGGCGGTATGGGCGTTGTCGAGACTGGGGGAGCTGCGGCGCCTGGTGTTGTAGATGCAGGTTGCTGATAGGTACCCGACGCGCCTCCAGCGTTTGGAGCTCCTCCTGGAGGGGCTCCTGCTCCCGTCTGACCGGGGTTGGCCGACATTTTGATCGTATCTTCCTAGATTTACAGTCTTCTTGACGTCCTTTTTCGATTACTCGGTCCAAAACTGATGGTACATCCTCCTCGTCGGGCAGATGAGGCGCTTGGTCGCAAACGTGAATCTAGGTCGAGAAAGAGCGACTATATCTATACGGAAATTCGAACTGAGAGTGATTACGGCGAGAAAGTGATCCGGGCCTTGCTCGGTGTTGATGGCTAGGTTTTCGCTGAGATGAGCTGGATGGTTTTGATGTCGTCGCGTCACCCCGATGAGTGAGGCTCGATCCCCTGCAAGGCTGCAAAGACGTGGAAAGAGTGGTTGGCAGCGGAAAATATCCATCAAAGGTCGCGCTAGCCTCTTTCGGGACTGGGGCCCTGCGAGCTTCCCCAATCATTGGAAGGAGCTCCGACCTTTTTCACCTTCCAGGTCCACATTTTCTTTGCGACGCGGTACCTCATTGATGTATCTTTGACCTTCACTCATTCAACCTCTCATCTCATCCTCGACGTCGCTTTGAAGGATTCGAGATCGAGACGGCAAACAAAGAATCCTCAAAACATGGCCGACACAAACATGTCAGGCGACCAGCCCGCCGAGCCCTTCACCCTCGAAGAGCGCATCCAACAGCTCTGCGACATCGACAAGAACATTGTCCAGCTCATGAACCACACCTCCTCTGCCATGTCCGCCCTGAGCAACAAGCCCCAGTCTTCGTCATCCAACACCACGAGTACCGTCTCCCCCGAAGACCAGAAGCAGCTCTTCAAAGACTCAATGGACTCCCTCTTGTCCACCCTTCACACAGTCGACGTTCACATGAAGCGCCAGATCATGGGCCTTGAGGAGGCCGGCATCATCAAGCTCCGCAACGACGCTTCTAAGGAAAGGCAGGTTGTCATGAATGAGGATGCAAAGATCGTCGCCAGACCCTCGTTGGAGCCAAACGGAGTTGGCACCATTGGCAACCTGGATGTTGGGTGGCTCAACAGCCGCAACAACAAGGTCGAGCGCGACATGGAGGCCGAGCTGTGGGCGAAGATGAGGGAGTTCCTTGAAAAATACCATGCAAATGAGCAGCCAGGAGGAGCCGACAGGATGCAGCAGTGAGAATGGCCTTGGCGAATGCAGTACTGAGAATATGCGATCGAGACGCCCAGCATGACGAGAGAATGACACAGTAGGTGACCTTGTCATTTATGTTCCCACGCAGTGCTGACCGTTCAGATAAAATACCCATCGTCAGCTTGATGCGTGACGATTAAAACTACGAGGCCGAGGGGCACGATGCCCGTTATTGGGGAGCAAAACACTCGGCGCTTTGAGCAGATAATGAAAAATGCTTCTGATTAAATGCTCCTAATTAATACTACCTATCCATGCTTCATGTGGCATCCACCCATCGTGACAAGGCATGTCTCGTAACAAGTGCGTGCTGATGATAAAAATGACCAATAACCGTACCCAAAGCGATGAAGCCATGCTCAAACGCCAATGCAAACAATGTGACAGACAGTCCCGTCCGAATCTCAACCATAGTGAGAGAAATGAGGAAGCGTTTTCCGTGTTGCCCTCCATTCAACTGCCGTAGAACGCATTAGGTATGGCCGGCTCAGATCTTAATGCTCTGATAGCCCTCGACAAGAGCGGCGGCGTTCTTAGTGACCGCAATCCATTCGGGAGCATATTGCAAAGCTTCATCAAACGCAGGAATGGTGCCCAAAGCGTTTGCATCACTCCATGCGCAGCTAATCTTACCCCTAAGCCGGGGTAGATCAATCAGAAGGTCGTCTGTTTGACGGAGTCGGAGCTCTTCGTGGGGGTCTGGACCAACGGCGGAGGTTGGAGAGTCTGCCGAGGGCGAAGACGCAGCGACCTCCGGGGCACCTTTACCCCATTCCAAGTCCACAGTCCAAGGCTTTGACCAATCTCTGCGCCAAAGGACGATGTTGGTCACAGGGGACCCTTCTGCCCTCCCCAAAACGGTCTCAATTCCAGCGTTTCCATGGACGTGCCAAGCCGAGACCTCGTCATCAAACCACAATACACAATTCTTGGACTTTTTGGCATCGATTTCAACTGTGGCCTTGTAGTTGCTCGAGTTTGAGCGGCTCACATTGAAGGTGATAAGGTCAGCGTACTTGTTTTTGGCCGAGTCAGTGGACAGGCTGCTTGTTATCTTGGGCAGCAGGACCGTGGCGTTATACACGCATTCGTGGAGTTCGAGTCGAGATGGGTGACATGAAATATCTTGGCCGACAGCTGAAGGAAGCTCCTTAATCATCTCGCGAACATACTTCTCGATGCCGGTGATGTGAACGAACGAGTACTCGTCTTGCAGTTGGACAGACTGCTGGAATCTGACCTTGAGACGACTTTCCGAGGAAAATGGAAACGCAACCAGATTGTAGACAAGGGTGATGCCAAAAAGGAAGACCAACAGCACAGGCAGATGGTATGTGACCCGGTGAATGAAAGGGATAACTGGCAGGAGAAGGAAGACACTGAAGAGAGCCAGGATCAGGTATGACCATAGCGAATCGATACCATCTGCACTGACTTGATTTAACGCAGACGTAATGAAGAGCGCGATTTGACTTAAAACCACAATGTTGATCGGCGCCAGTACCAGAAGCTGAACAATCCAGGTCCACGAGGGCAACTTGGCAGCCCATGGCTGTTCCTTCTCGTGTGGCGACTGGGCATCTTCCTTTGCTTTGGAATCACTGTCGCTGCCTGCAGTGGCTGCGTTAGATCGTCGGTAGCCCGAAGTGAAAGTCTGTCGAATCGTGCCGTGGTTTTCATTCTCCCCGCCCAACAGAGCACTGGTCTCTGTCGGCTCTCCGATTTGTTCTTCCGCGGGTGCGCGAGAGGCGGTCTCGCTTGGTGCGGGAGAAATCAGAGCATCCGAGTTGGGAACTTCGGCAATATCATCGCGATTTTGTTGGTCGTGGTAGGCTGCTTCGGCAAAATCCTTCTTCGCCGGCAAAGCGAAAAGGTCCAAGAGGCTGATCAGTGTCGCGACAAACACGGCCGAGTGGAAGAAGGCGAATGGATAGACGCCGGCGATTTTGAATCGATCGATGAGGACCGTTGCAGCAACCAGAAGAGTCCAGCTGAGGATGAACAGCCAGATGTGGGCATATCCTCGCTGTATGCCGCTGGGTCTCATGGAGCTTGCTCCCTTCGAGATCAACCAGAAGCTAATGAAGAATAAGGAGAGAAAATTCGCCCATCTACTCGTGTTAGAGGTACTCAATTTTGTTTGCTCTTGAGGGAACTTACACTACATATTCACTGCTGTAGATGATCTCAGGATTGACTTTGTGAGTCAAAAAAGCCGCAGCAAACGTGAGACCGGCGGAAAAGACGAAGGCAAGCGGAATTCGGAAGAAACCCTTCCACCCTCCAAGGGAAATGGACGTATCATTTGCGTCGACCTTGGCGTTGCGAGAGAAGTAGTAGTACTTGTCATTTCGGGACAAGAGGTAGCTGACGAGGACAAGAATCAATGGTGTCACGATGAGCAGAGTCAAAGCCCATGCGAAGAGGCCACGCAACTCCAAAGAGGCGAAGCCCTGTCCAAACATGTCGAACCAGGCACCCTCGGTGGGACGGCCACTTGACACCTTCCTCTTGTCTCCTTCTGCTGGTGAATCACCGGTGAAGGAGGACGTGTCTTTCTGGAGATGGTCGACAGCTGCCAGGGAGTTGGTCAGCATGTGCCACATGCTCTCTCTGGACGCATGGCGGGTGTCGTCCTGGTTGGTGTGGTATCTGGCGCGAGGACGGTAGAAGGCGATGTCAAGACCACGCTGGCCAAAGTTCTCCTTCCATACACTATAATCGGTTCCACTCTTAATGAGGCCCAACTGGAATCCATCGAAAGCAACCACAGAGCCGAAAGGATGTGGCGCATGATTGTATGCTTTGACGACTTCCAAATCAGTGGCGCGGAACAAAATTGCTCGTCCGCCCGCGCCGGCACCCTCAAGATTGACGAACGTGGTGGTGAAATAATACAGAGGGCTTTGGACGTATGCCATGGCTCCGTAAAGGCCATCCTCTTCGCCGTTGTTGAGAAGGAGAACAATGCCACGCTTGGGCTGACGGCCCGTGGCATTCTTCGTGTAGTAGTCAAGCATCTGGAGTACACTAACGCACCCCATACCGTCATCAGTTGCGCCATAGCCAGTGGAAACACTGTCGTAGTGAGCATTGACGAGGACACCACCCTTGCCAATCTTGCGGCCTTCGTCACGTTTCCACCACTCGCCATCCTCGTCTTCAGTGCCCCGGATGTACACGAGCTTGTTCGTGCTTTCAAAGTAGACGCCAGACCGTCCCCCGTTGTAGGATATATTCGAGATCGTGTCGTCAAATACTGTGACGCGAGGACCCTGGGAGGCTATCTTGTCAACTGGCGAAGTAGATGTCTCGCTGCATGAATGTTAGCTTCGGCATCAGTCACCTCTATGCAGAATACTCACACAAGAGCCTTGGGCCGCACAATGCCACCAGCATCCTTTTCCTTGGTCCATTCGACACCATTTCGGTTCAGAATCTCCTCGATCCGCTTCAGCAGGTAGTTGCCGACCTCATCGTTGGCACGGCTGTTGTACGGGTGGTACTGCCTCGTGATGGTCGTCAGGTCGTGCCACGCCTCGGTGACGTTCAGTCCGTCGGTTGGCTTGACATTGGGAACAGTCTCGTGGATCCAGACAAGCGGGATCAGGAAGGCTGCGTACACGACAATCAGCCAGAAGGTGACCGGTCCCTTGGTGAACCCGAACGGGTTGACAGCCATGGCTGCCGGTAGTCTTGGGTATCGCTCGGAGATAGCGGTACTTCGAAAACGATGGAAGATGACAATATTCGGTCAAAAAGGAGTGTGGCAAAGGCTCTCGCAGCACGTATGTCGGTCGGAGGATTCGGAGTTGAGGAGGCTGACGAGCGGAAACATGAAAGAGGACGGGAAGGCGTCATGTCCAGGCTGGTCTGCTGCTCCGCTGTCTGGGGACCATGCTGCGCTTGCCCCGTACCCGTATCTCTTGCGCAGGACGGCGGAACGCTCAAAGTGGATGATGCACAGCACTCCTAGCGCAGAAGGTGGCCCAAGCTCCCGCCTGCCCTGGGTCCAGCGTTCGCGACCTCCTCCACCAGCGCCCACTAAAGCGCCTGCGGCGGCCTGTACCTTAGGCTGCGATATAGATGTCATTAATGCGGGGTTCTCATGCAACTGCGACGCTCGACATGCAGCTTGCGCCTGCTTTTGCGACGGTTCGCCTTTCGATGTCTTGGGGTGGTGCGACTCAATTAGGACATTGCACGTATTCGGGGAGAGTCCAATCACGAACGGCCAATGGTGCACGAAGGTTTGAGGGACATCTGTCTGGAGCAACTCTCGGCGTCCACACTCGGATCCGACTCCGAGACAGCGCATGGGCTGTTACAAACAACTTCACGTGAACCAATTCAATTTTGATAAATGGGATGAACTACTACTGTCCATGCTGTGGCGTACGAAGGACCCTATAAATTAGTGCCGACTTCAACCTATCATACAATTTCATCTGCGCCTTCTGCTTCTCGAATCTGCTTCACATGAACGAGGGTACGGGCACCGGCAACCTGGAAGTCATGTTGAATCCCTGGTCGTTAGTCCATCGTTAGTCGGCGCGTGCCGTCAGTATCCTGTTAGTTGCCTGTTGTCCTTGCTGTGTCGCATCAAGCACCCGGGGGAGGCGGGGGAGGTTGGTCGCTTGGGGGCGGAGGAGGAGCATTGTCGGAGGGAGGTGGAGGGGGGGCACCACCGGCATACTGCTGAATGAGAGCGTTCAGACCACCGGCCAGACCAGGAGGAGCACCGAGACCGGGGGCGCCGGGGGGTGGAGGCGGGATGCCCGCGGGAGCACTCATGCCAGGAGGGGCACCGTATCCAGGGTAGCCGCCGTAGCCACCGCCGTAGCCGTTGTTCTGCGTTCCAGGAGGTTGATGCCAAGGGGCGGCACCGGGGGCGGCACCAGAGGACTGGCCACCGTAGCCCTGGCCGTAGTAGCTGTCGCCGCCGCCGTTTCCACCGTGATCATCACGGCGGCTGCCACGGTCACGAGCCCAGGGAGCAGCGCCGCCGCCACCGCCGCCACCACCACCGTCGCGGTCACGATCGTCTCGCGAGTCGCTGTTACGGCTGCGCCAGGGAGCAGGACCACCAGTGGGACCACGTTGCCAGGGCTTCGCGTCGCCGCTGGGACCATTGTTGTACGTGCCAGGACCGGCCTCGATGCGCGCAGGAGCGGCGCCGCTGGAGGAGCCGCCGCCGAGTTCTTGCATAAGTTGCTGCTTGGGTTAGCTTGTGCCACAAAAGTCAACGGATTGTGGGAACATACCTCGTACTCGCGGTCGACGGCATCTCCGCCTCCAATACGACCGGCAGGTCTGCCACCGGGGGCGTTGCCGTCGTTGCGCCAGCTGGCGCCCTTCTGGCGGTCGGGACAATCTCTGGCCATGTGTCCTGCGTTGCCACAGACACGGCAAATAATGCTGGCAGTGTAATTTTGTCTCTCGGGGCAGTCGTACTTGCGGTGACCGATTTGACCGCAGTTCTGGCAGGCCTGGTTCTCGTCGTCTCGGAGTGTACCGTTGAGAGCAGCGAGCTCACGAAGCTGGTTACGCTTGAGCTCGTTCTGTCCCTCGGGAATCGAGGCGGCCTTTTTCAGGGGTGATTAGCGAGTGGCGAAACAAACAAGGGGTGGAGAACGTACCGTTTCAATGATGTTGTGGATGAGCTTCTTGGCCTTGTTGACCTTCTCCTCTGTGTCGGCCATGATGAGACAGTGCAGGTCCTCCTCCTGGTTGCTGGCGTGGGCGGCGTCGGAACGACCCTTTCCCTCCTTGACGGAGCCTTTGCCACGAATGGCAATCTTGGCGCCTGATTCTGTTTCCATCTTTTTCAAAGTGTTGCCACGGGGTCCGATAAGTAAGCCAACTTCAATGGGAGAGCTACGCGTTAGTATCTGTATCAAAAGGGTGAAGCAAGTAATGACGGTCCCGGTCTGACAAGGCCAGGTCTGACAAGACACCTGGAGGATGCATGACAAGTTTGGCCGAGATCCAGGCAGGGAACAAGGGAAACAAGAATTTTGGTTAGGAGGGTTAGAGGGTTAGCAATCATACTGAAGTTAATCTCTGGATAGTCGTTAACAGGCACGTAGACCTTTTCCTGGGTCTTGGTGGGCCTGCGGTAATCCTGCGGCGGGTGGTAGTTAGGAATGGTCTTCATGGCCTTCTCGATGAGCTTGTGCCGCTCATCTTCGAGGCGCTTGCGGTATCGGTATTCGCGGGTGTTGATACGGCGACCGTGGTTGTCGTACTGCGGAGGCGGAGAGGGGGATCTAGAGAGTTAGCCAAAACCATCGAGTGCGCACGCGAAGGAGCTTACCTGTCTCCATCCGCGGGGACGACGTCGTCGATACGGAGCTTCTGGCTGATCTCCGTGATGCGCAAGTGCAGAGTGTAGGCCTCCAGCTGCTCGCCCGTCATGTTCGCCGTGATGGCCGTCGTCAGGCCCATCAGGCCGGCAGCCTTGTTCTCCGACGCGTCGCCCCAGCGGTTTCTCTTCTTTCTGCGTCGAGGTCCATCGGCGTCGGTGCCTGTTCGCGATGTCAGATTCTGTTGCAAAAACTCGGGGGCGCCAAACCGAAGAGACTTACGAGGCTCTGGGCTGCGACCGCGCTTCAGCTCGCCATTGCCGTTGCCATTGCTGTAGACTTCAGGCTCCTCATCGTCGCCACCGAAACGGCGCTTCCCGAGAGGGATGTTGTTGGAACCCGTAATTCCCTGGTTTCTCCACGACATCTTGTTTGCTGCGCGATAACAATGGTATGTCGCAAGGAGGTGATGTGGTGTGATGGCGAATGGGGATTGCGATGAAGGAGGAGGGAACTTTATATGGAACCGAGTTTAGCGTGGACCTGCGGAGATGGAAACCATGTCCGGGGCACTGGCTGACCTTGATCGGCTGCGACTGGTGCCAGCTGCGAGTCTTGGCAACGGCGAGGCAGGTGGGGCTCGCCACGTGATTAAGATTCAAAGTTTTTAGAGCAAACTCATTCAACCCTTCACTCACAGGCACCCGCTGCCCAAGAACGATAAGACCAGCAGTAACTTAGCAAGAAAGAAGGAAATCTGCAAAACAGATAGTGCTAAAAGGGCAAAAAATTATGATCAGTGGGAGGCTTGAACTCCCGGCCTTGGCATTACCAGATACACGAGGTGATGTATTAGTACCACGCTCTAACCAACTGAGCTAACCGACCTGATTCGGCTCATTGGAGCTTGAACGTGCAGCTCAGTTCTGGCATATTGTACCGAGGCCTAGGCCGTGCATTCGACCCAGGTTTGGGTCTCAGTGGGTTAAGTCTCTCATCTGTCGGCAAAGGTCTCAGTCATCTCTTGGGATGAGTGAGATGAGTGGATTGTTATCCGACTACTTAATTAGAACAATCAACATGTCCTGTTCACCTCTTATTGTATCTCACACTCAACTCAGCCTGCTAACCCAGTCTCGACTGGCTCCCATATCTCCCATCACGGGCACCACCAGATGTCACATTACTTAAAACATCAAGCGCTGGAATGAATTACTTTTCACGAGGTATCTACGCCCTATTTCTTGGCGGCATCCTCCTGCATGCCCTTCAGGATCCACGCGCTGGCACCCTTGGCCTGCTCATCCAGCTCCTCGTCCGTCTTGCTGTAGTGCTCCAGCGCCTTGTGAGGCGAGGGGACGTGACGTCCCGCCTCGAAACCGGGACGCTCGACAAGCTTCCACAGCCACGCCTTCAGCGCGGGGAACTCCTCGAGGTCGATGCCAGCCCACTTGGCAGCCGCGACCCAGCCCCAGCACGCCATGTCGGCGATGGTCACCCGGTCGCCGACGAGGTAGCCGTGGGGGTTCGCCTTGAGCTGGGTGTCCATGGTGCGGTACAGGCGGCGGGTCTCGTTGGTGTAGCGGTCGATGCCGTACTGGATCTTCTCGGGAGCGTAGCCTGGGCGGAGTGGTCAGCCTTTCTTCGGGATAATCTGTGACGTGCAGTAGCAACTCACGCTTGAAGTGGTTGGCCTGTCCCTGCATGGGTCCGAGACCACCCATCTGCCAGTGCAGCTGCATCACATTAGCTCAACTCTCTCAATCAACCCGCTTGAAGCATACCCAGTTGTTCACCTCCCAGTACTCGCGAGATCCGTACGGGTAGGAGACCTTGTGGTCCTTGTCGTAGCGGTCGACGAGGTACTGCATGATGCTTCCGCTCTCGAACAGACGGATGGACTTGCCATCCTCAAAGGTGTCGGTCAACGCGGGGATGCGGCCATTGGGGTTGATCTCGAGGAACCAGGGCTCCTTCTGGGTGTTCTTGGAAATATCAATGGCGGTGGTCTTGTAGTCCAGGCCAAGCTCCTCCAGCAGAATTGAGACCTTGATACCGTTGGGCGTGCCCATGGTGTACAGGTGGATATCGGTCTTGGTCTTGGCAGCCATGTTGAATACTTGTTTACTCAACTGTCCCAGTCGGGTAGTCATGAATGGGTGGGATGAACAAGGTAAGTGGGCAAATTTCGCAAGAGAATCAAGAGATGTCGTCAGAACAGGGTGTCGAAGATGGTTCAGTGCAAATGGTGGAAGAAGTCGACGCCGAGGCCAGAGTTCCTAAATACTAATCCAGAGCTCATTGACCCCTCCCCTCGCCCGCGTAGCTGTACAGCTGTTACCTTAATAATATGGGGTGGGAAAGACCCGCCAGGACCCCCGTGGAACATCGCTAAAGCCATGCCGCAAGCACTGTTCCAATGTTGGGAAATGCTTCCGTCACAGTGACCCCTCCACCGCGCCCTTCTTCCGCGGGGCCATCCAGACGTGCTTAGAAATCACACACCCAAAGCCACTGCTGCAGCCCAGGCATCCCACCACAATGAAGCGATGGCGTCACTCCGCTCCAGTCCCCCGCGGGCGGTTCGCGTGCCGAAAGAAGTGGGGCCAATTATAGAGCTCGGAGCTGCAGGCATGGAGCTGCGGCGTGTCCCAAACACGATAACTAAGCATCCCAACCTCACTTCACCTCGCCTGGTTGTATCGGTAAGCAAGAGGCTCTTCGCCGTCCGGCTCGTTGTCGAGTCGCGCCGGTCAGGAGTGCCGGCTCCGGATCAGCAGATCAAGTCCGTGGGGCTCCGGCTCCCGTCAGCAGAACCTGCCTATTGGGGTCATGCAGGGCCACGAAGGATGCGCTAGTATTCAGGAACCAAAGTCCCTTCGTGGTGTTTTCTGTCGTACCTTTCTTTTCATCGCCTCTGCGATTTCGTCTCATGATACCCACGTGGCCTCGCGTGTGTGTTATGGACCTTGATGCAGGATCGTGGCTAACATACATCCACCTTTGTGTTGCATATTTGTCTAGATGTGTGATTTAAAATCTCCACATCCCCCTCAGCCAGCGACGTGGTTTTTTATACTCTATATTCACCCATCACATCGCCAGGGACACAGACACCGGGGAATCGTTTAAACTGACACTGCGATTTCATACTTGTACTAACTGCTACTCAGGCTTACGCTTCAATCCCGTTAACTCCATACTCCTCATTGCCACGACGCTTGCGCCTATCCCGGCGACTCCTACAAATCTTATCGCTGGACCTGCTTCTACATGGAGGAACGCGTCATCTCCATCATTACCTCACATTCCGAACCATCTCTTGACCGATGGTCAAATCCTGATTCGCCCCAGCCTCTCCAACAAACCGGCTTCACGGCGCCGCACATCCCGTTTTATAACGCCCCTGACCCCGTCGACCAGTGCATGAACTGGGACCTTTGCCACTGCTGCTGCAATTATTGTTGCTGCTGAGGCTGTTGCTGTTGCTGTTGCTGTTGTTGTTGCTGTTGTTGTTGCTGTTGTTGTTGCTGTTGTTGTTGCTGTTGTTGCTGAACTTGTAGTTGCAGCTGCTGCAGTCGCTGCCGAGCCTGTTGAAGTTGCTGCCGAGCCTTTTGTCGTTGCTGCTGAACCTGTATTTGCAGCTGCTGCAGTTGCTGATGAGCCTGTTGAAGTTCCTGAGACTCCTGTAGCTGCTGGGGCTGTTGCTGCTGAGGCTGCTTCTGCTGTTGTTGCAACTGCTGACCCTGTTGCTGTTGAGGCTGTTGTTGCTGACGTCCCTCGTATACAAGCTGCATCTGCGGGTCTAACGGCAGATGGAATTGCGTCGACAATCCCGACGCAGGTTGCGATGGAGTCTGACCTTGCCGACGTAATCGTGAAGTCCCCCGTCTGCTGTGTTGTCGAGGCGGCACTCCATTCTGCGACGAGCTTGGCCCTGCCTTACAGCCGTGTCCATGCCACGCATATCTGGGTCCCCGGCCGTCTTCCAAGCGCGTGCGTCGCATGTCGTTATTGCGCTGGACTTCCCAGCGGCCGTCTCCCAAGGGCACGCATTTGACTCGGTCGTTGCCTGGAGAAGAAGTTGGGTCCTTGCGCATATACTCTCGCATGCCGTTATTGAGCAACTGAAGTTCCAAGGGAAGGCATGCTGGACTGTGCTTGGAATGCCCCGTCCACTCGATTGGGGTGGGTGGCAGTTCATGATGACCCTTTGCGTACAGACGATACGAGGCCAGCACACTCGACATCGCGATGCCTCGCGGTATACTTGCCGGCTGCCCACTGCGAGATCGTCAGCTAATTGATTACAGGTGTTTGTGGATTCAACATACCTCCTCAGTGCGGCACGGGCATTCCTCACAGTTAGTGACCATGCCATATAATCGCAGAAATCAATGAAAAGATGCTTCTTCTTGGCATCGGGAGTGTTGCCAGATCCTCGATCAATCTGTGCGGGGCCCCCGTTTATGGTCTGGCTCTTCCCGTTCATGACCTGGGCCTCCGCGTTCATGATCTGAGTCTCCGCGTTCATGTCCTGGGCCTTCGCGTTTGTGATCTCTGGCTCCTGGTTGGCGTAATGTGCCAGCAAGTCATTCAGGGCCTGCATCTCCTCGTTCATGGTCTTGGCCCCCGCGTTCGCGATCTCGGCATCCACATCCATGGTCTGGCTCTGCCGATCCTGGGTGTTTGCGCCACCGAAAGGAAAGACAACCGACGTGGGCTGCAAATCCGGTTGGAAAGGCTGGCCGGGCTGGTCAGTCTCCATCACCATAGGCTCTTCTGGGACAGCCGGGGTCGGCCATTGAATCTGAGGCTGCTCGCCAACTTGACTAGCAGCGCCAGAGCCGACCAGAGACGGGCTTGACTGCGGAGCTTGCTCGTCAATGCTGCCGAGCTGGGCATCTTGGCTTGACTGGTAGCTGTTGCCTGGGCTGGCTCCGACCGTGTAATCATGGCCTGGGCCGGCTCCAGATAAGAGTGCGTCCGCCCAACCGAGGTCCCTGACAAAGTTCGAATGCATGCGGTCACCCGCATCCGCGGAACTATCATTGAAAGGGTTGGGGTCCATCTTGCTTCTGTCGTGTGCAAGTCCGCGCGTAGCAGGTGAGGTTATAGAAGGATAAACTCAAATACTGAAAGAGATGCTCCAGGTCAGACGAAAAGAGACAGCGCAACTATGGCGGTGATGTGTGAGAGATGAAGGTAGGTGGAAATAGGCCAGCGGAAATATGTGTAATGTCAGGAGAGAAGAATGAAAGGACGGAAGGAAAGAAAGAGGGGACAGGGAGGGACAGGAAGGAAAAGGGGGAAGCAACTCACTATCTGGTACGTCGGCTCAACGCGTTACTCAACGGAAGAATTCGACAAGACTGACGCTGTCACAGATGCAAAAAAAAAAAAAAAAAAANAAAAAAAAAAAAAAAAAAAAGCCTCGATATTTTCGACTCAGGGTCTCTGCTCTCAAGCTTCGGTTTTGCACTGTAAATCTCTCTTGACCACGGGTGTTCGCAAATAATCCACGGTAGACCAATGTCAGAAGACACAGACACTTGAACGTCGATGGCAACTTGATCTTTTCTGGACGAGTGTTCGAAAAAGGTGCTGCTGGATGGATGGTGCAGAGGGAGAGGTTGGCCAAGAAGACAATGGGACAACGGCTACTTATACTGTGATGGCAGGAACTGGAATCACCCAGCCTACTTTTTGGCCCGCTCCCTCCCTCTTTGTCACTATGCTCAATCAGGATTATGGTTCATACAGGCGAGGGCCTGACATGGCTAGCAAGGTCGCGACGCCGTCAGGTTCGGTGTGTATCTCCTTCAGACGAATCGGAGGACATGGCCCAGCGCCATACTGCCAAGTTGAGTAAGCCCAGTGGTTGTGGTATCGGTACTCGTCCGCTTTTGTTGTGGGAAGCCCGTCTAGGTGTTCGCGAGGTCCAGAAGTCACGGGATGTACTTTTGAGAAATCTGCTGAGAAAAAGGGCGTGGCGGAATCACTGAGGCAAGAGTCATATCAGAGAGAGCAGTACCACAAGTCACGTACTCAGGGGAATGTCAAAGAGCGTATTATCACCACGCAATCTTCCACCAAATTTCCAACATTGATTCTTGAACCACGGCTTGTCTGAGCCTTCCATATGAATCTACTCTACAAGCCTCCCTCTTTGGAGACCACACATGATCTCGACGCCGCCCTGCTGAGATCCATACTATGCTCATTTTACCACAGCCACCTCTCAACACATGTTACACACATCTCACCGAAACCAGACGTGAACAAATCAAACTCTATTCAACTTGAGCACTTGTTGGCCTTAAGAATCAGTACCGCCGGTCACTCGCACGCTATATCAAGAAATTTCTGAACTCAGACCAGGCCATCTATGTTCGCGAAGTGTGTCACAATCGACCGTTGTGAACCATTGCCATTTTGTTTCTGGAACAAAAAATGGGGGAAAGACATTTGTCGATGCTATCTCGTGCCTCGTTTTCGAATATTTCAAGAAACAGACGGATTATCGTATGACCGGAGATATAAGGTGAGGCGCAATTTAGCTTGCATCTGTTGGCGTACAGGTCGGCAGTTGAACCAGCTCAACGGGCTACCACACCACGCCCAACACCGGACCCAAGTACATCTACGTACCGATGGCTTTCGATTTTGTGTTTGGATCTTTATGCCACAAAGGTCAGAAAGCTTTTCAAAAGTCATGCGGGCTTTCCGTAGAAGTTACGAAGGTCAACACAGCAGACAACATCCAGGTGTCCTCAAATCTGGTTCTAGAGCGCTCAATAGCTCGAGTCTTGACGAAAACATCCTGAACAAGGATCTACCGCTCTCCAGCGGGCTGACGGAAGATGATCGGGAAAGACGTTTTGCTTTCCTCATTCTGCAAACGTTATGAGTATGGTGGACAGGTTATTCAGATATGCCATCTCCGGCGCGACTGAGATGTGGACGCATAGGCTCCTCTTAACACAGCCAGTAACATACACGGCAGCACAAAGCCACCAAGGCTGCTCGTACAGAAGTGGCCAAGATACGATTGCCAAGGAGGTGTGTCGTGGGGAGAACCGGCTACGTTGCCCGCAAGGGTCTGTCATAGAGGTAGTTGGATGAACCTCAGGACAAATTCGAGTATCACATTCAGCCTCAATGTGGGACCCATGGCTTTGAGATAAATGTCTTTTCTTGTACCTATGTATCGTAGGTGCTTGGATACTTGGCCACTATCTTCTGCTCTTCAGGGTTATTTCAAGCTCTGATTCATCGCCTCAGCGCTGTAAATTCTCTGATTGGTCTAAAAAGGGGGTTGGGAATCTCAACTCTCCAAGTCCGTACAGTATTCTGAACTCTTGAGTAGCAACTACACGATTCAAGCCATCCACATGGCCTCTCCGCCACCGTAGCCACAACCCTTATTCGGTGAGGGACCCATCCACTTAACGGGTTAATGAGGCGCAGAATCGGGCAGAGACCACGAAGGTAGCCGGTCTCATTGAGGTTGATACCAGGAACTGTTCCGATGTGCAAAAAACCCATCAAGGCTGTCCGTCCGCCGCCTTGGTCATCAACTTGAACAAGTTTGATATAGATAAGAGGGAGGAAATCTACCAAGTACCAAATACATGTACATGTCGTTACACCCCTCTCCGCCTGATGCCGATCCATTAGATGCTTCTCAGGAAAATACATGCTATGAATCCCTTCGTCCGAGTCAACTCAAACGTCTCAGTGTCCTCATCTCGGGACTGGTAAAAAATGCAAACCCAGACTCCGTTGCCCGCCAAACTCCTTTTTTTCCGTATTTCATTTCAAACTGCTGTCTGGAACGAGACGAGCCCGTCAAGAAGTTTGAGCCTTGCGCTTGGTGCTTCAAGGCTGCACCCGCAAGCCCACTGGCCTTCCCTCGTCGACAATCATCTGCTCGTCAATTCTCTTGCCGGTATCGCCCCATTCCACACGCTTCCACGTCAATATGCGGGCCTGGTTGGTGTCAACTTCGAAGACGCGTATCCGCCGGTGGTAACCGCCGTAACCGCCATAGCCACCAAAGCCGACGCCGCCGGCGTAGCACATCCACAGGGCAGGTTTGTTTTCCTTGTCAGTTGAGAGAGAGCAGTAGTCGTTCGCGTGGTCACTGCGTTTTGTTAGACACGTCTGCGGGGAGGAGACAAGAGACTTACTGTCCGCAGCTGACCATGACGACGCCCTGGTCGACGAGGGCGTCGCGAAAACCAGAATTAAAGTTTGGTGCTGTCACACCCTCCCTCCATTCGCCCTTGATGGCGAGCTCTTGATCTCTGTACTCGGGAAGAGGGATGTGGATGAATGCCAGATCCATGTGAACATGGGTGTACTGCTTATGCGCCTGCTTAAGGCTCTGGGCCGTCTTCTTGAACCAGTCAATCTGGTTCTGCTTGATCCAGTCGTACCCATGCCATTTCTTTTCGTCAGGCGAGTAGGCGTGGGAGTCGAGCATATACAGGGTCAGCGCCGAGTGATCAGACTTGCCCCTAGCAAGAACCTCAACGTAATAGTTGCCGACACCCTCAATGTCCTCCGGGCCAGCCTGCGCAAGTGAGTATGGCAGGGATTCGAGGATGGACATTTGCGCGGAGCGAGGTAGCGTGAGATCGTCATGGTTGCCAAATATGGAGACGTAAGGAATCTTCATCTTGATGAGGATCGAAGCGATTTTGAAGATGGCCTGTTTTGTCAGCGCACGTCCATCTTTTGACCGCGGAGATGACCTACCGATTGCGCATCCGGCGCCGATTCACCATTCACTTGATCTCCGCTCAGCACAACCAAGTGTGGCTTCTCCTCGGTGAGGATCTTTTGCACAAAGTCCAGCGTCCGGGGGTCCGCCTCGCACACGTCCCCGTTGTAGCCCTCGGGCTGGGCGTCGCGGCACTTTCCAACGCCAGTGCTGAGGTGGAGGTCGGCGAGCTGAACAATCTTGAACTTGCCATTGTCGGCGATGCGCGGGTGCGGCTTCGTCGGCTCCTTTTGGCTGCCTCGTCGAACGGTGAGGTGGGAGACGGGAACGTCCTCGTTGAGGGGCAGGAGCAGGGGTGTCCCGCCAGTGATCTCCCACCCGTTGCGCGCCTCGACGGCATCGTCGCCGAAGAGGACGTCGACGCCGGTGACGGCCTTCTTAGAGTCGCTATCCTTCTGGTTGGACGAGCGCTTCACCCACAGGCCGTAGGGCCGGCTCTCCCACCGCTCGTCCTCCTCTCCCTTCTTGGCAGTTGTGGGGTCGAGTCTGCCGACGGAAACGTCCATAACGACCTTGTCTTCGGCGACGAGCTCCTCCTCCTTTTTGCGCGCAACGTGAACGTATGCGCTCGTCGTCCATGACTTGCCGAGATACAGATCCTTCTCGATACGGTGCCACTTGTTGATGTCGAGCTTGCAGGAGGAAAAGACGTTGAGGGAGGAACACTTTGTTATTGTGATGTCGGTGACGATCAGCCCATGGTGGTGTTGGGGCATGTAGTGGTGCATCGACTTGGGGAGGACTCGGAAGTTGCGGTCGAGGAAGACGACGACGATGAGGGTGACCAGCGTCACCGCAGTGAGCTGGACTATCGTGCGCACCTAAGGGAGGCAGGGCATCAGCGCGCGGGTCTTGGACGACGGGCAGACGGGCAGGACTTACTATGCGGCGCGTCATGTTGGGCGACACCGGGATTGTCGCAGAGAGTGGAAGGAGTAGTATTGTTTGGGGGCGATGGCCGGTGGTGGCGGCGTAACGTAGAAAATGCGGGATGCTAAGGGGAACACGAACACGAACAATCGGCTCCGGCGAGCCTAATTCAAGCTACTGCTTAGGCCATATCATGGCCCACAGACTCGGTATACAAGAAATAAGAGTTGCAGATGGGGCGACTGAGCTTGTTCTCGGATCATGAACGACGACAGCTCAGCAGGGCGACAGGGGGGGCGGCAGAAAAGGAGCAAAAAAGGCACGATGGACGATTTCATGGACTCGGTCGATACAGGTCCAGTTTAGTGGAGCCAGCTGCCAGAATCTGGGGTAGCAACCTCACTTTTGCTCACTTTCACAGGTCAGGCCTGGGTCCTTGGGGTCTTTGGGTCACACCAGTGACTGGTCACTGCCCACTGAGGTTGGCGCAAGGTCCCTGAGTGAACCCGGAACCCAACCTTACCACGCCAGCTGTTTGCGCGCCTGGTGGAACGCGGGCTGACGGGTAGGGTCGACAGATACGTACCCACCGCACATCCATCGATTAGGTTATCAAGGTTTGATTGGCTGGGCGGTCGAGATGTGAGGCCAGGAGACACCACCGACCCCTCCCAGGCCATCGCACGTGCCTCCCTCCTTCACCCCTTCTCTCTCTAATGATTCAACACACCGTTTCCGTTCTGGTCCAACGCATTGTGTCTCTTCAAAAGGCTTTGGAGAGACGGCCACCAAGCACACGGGCCAGACGACGGGGGGACGGACTACGGCACGGCAGCATCCAGCATCGTCCTCCCTCACGGCAGCCGGGGCGTCTTCCATGTCGGTGGAGCAGCCCTGCCCGGCCGTCCGCCGTTCCATCTTGACAGCGTCACAGTCCCTCCACGCGATACACGTAAGCTCGAGACGTGGAGGAGTTGGTCTGATGAGAATAGACGGACTCCTGCAGTGCACATCAGGCAAGAACTGCTGCCCCGTTGACGCATTCCACCCAGCCCGGCCGCGCGTCAATGGCCAATTGAGTTTGATTCGCAGCCATGCTCCCAGTTGATGGCAGTCTCGACACACGCGACGAGATGAAATACCGCTCATCATGTCGCCTCCTCTACGGATGACAGAAGCATAGACGGACCGGCGGGTCGATTAGGTTGAAGATCAGTTGGGGCTCTGCTGCTCGACGTCACACGGCGACTATGCGTGCGGCGCAGCTTGAGTCAGTTTCGACGCGCCACGAGCCGAGCGGAAGTCGTGACAGCGGAGACTCGGGGCCAGTCGCAACACGAGTGTCTGCAGACACGCGAACGAAGCCATCTTCATGCTTCACTTATTCTTTCAGATGTTCTCGACATCACTCTATGCCTCTCGACGTCCAAGTTGAAGCTGGACATGCCTGACTGAAAACGTCCTTGCAGCTTGCCGAAACGAGGCACACTACAAGATGAAAAAACCGCTGAAAGACACCACCCGTAACGCAACAGCCAAACATCCTTTGTTTCTTCTCCAACGGGAAGCCGCAGCTAATCCAAAGATAACCTCCATGGCCATTGTCTTTCCCATCGTCAATTCCATCAACAGTTGCAGCAAGCAATTTGGCTCATGCAGGAACAGTGGCCCGTGCTCCTGCATTCTCGCTTAGCTGCGCGGTACGTACCGCCGACAGCTTTGGCAGGCGCAGGAAGGCGCACCTAGGCACCTCGTGCTACCTTCCCGCCGCCGCTGCTGCCAGCTCTGCTCTGCTGTTGTCGTCCTGCGAACCAAACCAGCAACGACGCGCCTCACCTCAAAAATCGTCATAACCCCCGACGATCGTCAACCACCAGCCTCCCTCCACCGTTCCACTTCGTCATCATCAATCTCTTCCCATCTCCGCTTGCGCAGTTATCCATCCGCTTGCGCAATAACAATTCTTTCACATCTCGAATTATCCCGTATCCCCCAAAAACCACACAGTCGCAAGCATGGCCACCGACTACAGCTCATTGAAGGTGCCCGAGCTCAAGAAGCTTCTCCAGGAGAGGAGCCTTCCCGCCACGGGCAACAAGCTTGACCTGGTCAACCGCCTTAAGGAGAACGACAAGGCATCTGCCCCCGCGCCAGGTACGTCGACGGAATGAATGCGCCTCCGACCCCAAACTGACCGTCGCAATCCCAGCCGCAGAGGAGGACGAGATCGACTATAGCGACGACGAGCCCGCCGCGCCTGCCAAGGCCGCCGAAGCATCCAAGCCGGTCGAGGAGGCTGCACCTGCCGCTGAAACAGCCGCAGCCCCAGCTCCCGCCGCGGAGCCCGCTGCGCCAGCAACCACCGAGGCCGCTCCCGAGGCTGCGCCTGCCGCTGCCGAGACGACCACCGAAGAGAAGCCTGAGGAGGCCGCCGCGCCCAAGGAGAACTTCGCCCTCAACCTCGGTGCGACCGACGCCTCAGAAGAAGCTCGCAAGCGCGCCGAGCGTGCCAAGCGCTTCGGCATCGTCGAGGAGGACGACGACGCCAAGAAGAAGGCTGAACGCGCGAAGCGCTTCGGCGCCGATGCCGACGCCGCCAACACTTCCGCCCTCGACTCGGCCCTTCCCGAGAGACGCCCCAAGCGCGGCCGTCCCGAGCGTAGCGACGAGCAGCCCGGCCGTGACTCCAAGCGCCAGAGCACCGACGGCCGTGGACGCCGCGGCGGCAGGGGCAACAGACAAGGTCGCCAGGGCGGCGGTCGTCAAGGTGGCGGCGGCGTCGAGAAGCAGCGCAGTGCTGCGGTCGACCCGGCCGAGAAGGCCAGGATGGAGGCTAGAGCCAAGCGCTTTGCTGCCTAGATGGGGTAAGACGAGTTGGCAGGGGATTATGTATACTACTATGGTCGGGGAGCTGGAAGGCGTTTTCGTTCACGACGATGAACATGGAGACGCAAACGCAAAATTTGAAAAACGACAGGTCTTGGTCTACGCCGAACGAGACAGCGTGGTAGTTGGCACCACGCGTCTACTTTACCAGATATCTTTACAGTAATGGAATAGAGCAAAAAGCTTTTTTGTATCCCAACTCGGTTTCGTATGTGTTGGTCGATTTGAAGTGAGCTGGCATCGTTTAGATTCAACCGTGAACTTGATAGCCCAATTACTAGTCTGCGCAACGGGAAGAAGTCCAACGTTACCTTGCTGAGCGGAGGCGAAGTGTGGCAACTCCATGCTAACCGGGTAGTCGGCTCTCCCACAGCAGATGTGACATTGGCGATTGAATCCACCTCACGTCCCGAGGGCCGACTCCCTGGCAAACAAAAGTCTGATCGATGACCCAATTGAATATTACTCACTCAGAGATGCGAATCAGTTCGATGGCGTCTTATAAGGCTACCTATTCCGTGAGTGGCTGGCTCTTCAACAATGAGAACGCCTGTCACGGGTATTCGGCACCGTTGTTGAAGCCGTCCATCGACGCAGTCCAGCACCAAACATGGACCCGGAGCAACGATTCATTTGCATCTGGGTATGGATCGCCGTCCTTCCTTATGGTCACTTGGCGGTTATTCATCCTAAAGAGCTACGAGTTTGGAGACTGAGGCTATGCATTTCCGCAGTATACGACCCTACGTTCAGGCTTCATTCTTGTCCAAGCGACCAATATCACCGCACAATCGACTCTGTCGTCAGAGACATCATTTATGGAATATACTATAAACTTCACCACCATTATCTATATCCCAAGGCACAAAGGCTCGGCACAGTCCAGGGCCAAAGGCTAGGCGCTCGAAGAAGTATATCTATACACCCAGGCATGGCGCCAACAAGCGCAATTACCTCCCTCGACAAATTGTACAGTCTTTCCCCTAATTTTGAGAAAGAGAAATCAATCCTGCGTATGATTCAAGTTTAAATAAGCACAAAAACGTCGGTTGCAAGGGCTTTCGTAACGCCCTCGGAAGCCCTGTTGCCACTTTGCGAGCCTCACTCGGCGCATTTAAAGAGAGGGACAGAGCAAACTTTTCGGTATTCCACACAAACAATCAGGGGAACATCGCGAAATTCACATCATTACTTGACTCGAATTGGCTTTTCTTTTCGCGCATGTCACTCTGCCTGGACACGATTCCTGGATTAAAGCACAAGGCCACGGCACGTCTCATTGTCTGCGTCCTTCAAAGGTATTGCCCGAAGCGTATTCATACTTGATGTTCTGGATTAGACTTTAATTCAAGCGAAATATGGAAGTATGACCGAGCTTGATTCTGACATAGATTGCTGTCCGCCAAAGACTTGCCACCTCTAGCTCCGTTGAATCGCACTCATCGTCGTCTAATTGGTCGCTGAACGAGGAGACCTAGACTTCTAGGGGACGTTGTTTATATGGCGCTAGAAACCAAAGATAGTCTTAGAGCAGTTCCTTCACAGAGATCGGGGCCTCGCCTCTGTACGAGTCTTTGCTCAAAATGGATGCAGTACCCGCACATGAGCTGCGTACATCGGTGAAGATGAGTGCTAGTACCTGGGTTGTATATTGACACGGCCTTTCCAAATGTTATCGTGATTCTTTTGCTAGCGATGCTGGAATTCTGTTTCTGCGTGGGCTAATGACCTACCGTGACATTCTTCTCCAAGGGAGTTGTGGTATACTGGCGCGTGTAACCTCTCTATAAAGTTCTCTATCGCCCGTCATGTTGAGGATATTCATGGTATTCTCAACACATAGCTAAAAGATTGGCATTTATATAAGGCTGAGATAGAGCTGCGTTACAATATCCAACCACTGATACTTGCATTCCAAATCCCGAAGGACAGCCCAAGGGCACTTCTACCCATCCATCCCCGTCAGCTAGCAATCCGTTGACAAATGATGTCCGAAAACACAGTGTCGCCCTCCCTTAAAGACGGAGAATCCCTGGTCCTCGTTCTCCAAAGAGAGAGAAGCCGAGTCGTGATGAGGCGGGAGGCACTCCCGCAGCCAGCCAAAAAATCCTAGACATACGTGACAACCAAGAGACTTGCGGCTTTGAACATTGTGAGGGCTGCAGTCGATGTTTGATGGAAGGTTTCTCGTCCTCATCTGAAACGATGTTTAACGTATAGTAGCTTAGGAAAACATACCAAAAGTCATATGAAGAGTCACTTGCTTAGACTTTCAGCTAACAGGACGATGCTCTCATTCATTGCAACGCCATGGACGGGGATTGAGCTGGCGCATCGCACCCCAAATACGCTGATCTCACACCTGAGGTCAAAAACATGAGACGCGTTTTCGATGATGCTTAAGACCATCATCGTGTAATCTGGTGCTTATTCTAGACGTCTTCCGCGTATAAAAGGACCGAACCGATGAGGAACGAAGAACGAAGCGGAACCAAATCTCTCATCGTCAGTAACGTTGCCCCTGCCTGGGACATCACCTCCCTACCCCCAAGTGTATGATGCTCAGCATAACGCGAAAATAACCTACATCTTCTGGGCCCTGATTTGCCTCAGAAAAAAAAAAAGGGAATATGCGGAGATCACACAATATATACCACGAACTACATCCTAGACTTATTATCATTTCCACCTCTGAGCTCACGTACTGGAATTCCGACCCTGCCGTTAGCTCTTTGGGTAATTCCATGGCCTACTGGTGAAGTATAAAGCTCTACGCAGGCCACACCATTTTCCACAATCCACAATAGAAGTACAATATCCCGTGCTTTTTCTGAAGGTGATTGCAAAGGTCATCCACGTGATGCCACACCACAATCACTTACTTTTTAGTACCTTCACCGCCCATCGCCCTCAAAGCAGCCTCGTATCGTTCATTCTGTTGAATAATTCAACGATACTGAGGACGAACAGAGGCAACGAAAACCTGTATTGGCTGGGCATTGAGGAGATAGAGTGTCAGTGAGCACCACAGGGCGCGCTCACCCAACAGGAAAGAATGCGATCTCCGTCTTCTGGTCACACGCCCGAAGTCCATTTTCGTGTCCCGCCTAAAGAGAGCAAAAGACGGCCACAAGGCCTCTTATATCCTCAAGCAGGTCTCTGGACTGGAAGCCTTCACTCATATAAAGAACCTTCGGCACTATTTTGAAAGTCGCCGCCACCGACAATGATGTCGGTTTCTCGTTCTAGGAAGTCCTCCCAGTAATCCGTTGCAGTCCATGACGAGGCTGATAAGCGTAGTTCCCGTCAGTATCGCAGACTCTCACTTACAGCATCGCCGACCTCCACCTCTGCGACTCCTTACTTTTTGTCAGGTATTCTCTCCATGACGAAACCATTGAACTCTAAAGATGTTCGACGGTTCTCGAGATTGACGACATTAACAGGCGTAAAATTTCCAATGCCAACCCCCGGTCCAGACAATACAGACCCAGCCATGAGTCTTGTTGCTGCTATCTGAGAGCATGCATGTCTTTCACTCACTTATAACCAGATCTCACAACGTCCGTCGGGCCTCAAAACAATCCAAGTCCAATACAAAACCACTCCTCGCCACAGACCTCATCCCTTTCCCAAAGTCACATCCCCATCCCCTCTCATCTAACCCAACCCAAGCGCTACCTTAGTCCACTACCTCAGCCCTTCCCGCGGATCCAGTAAACCTGCCAGAAAAGCGCCCCCTCCCCCTTCTCGCGCAACCCAAACAGAGCGAAAGACCAGGAACGACCTCCTTCGAATCCCATCCCACTCCTCCGCCATCAGCTCCAACGAACAAAGCCACGCCGCCAACCCGCTTCCCCAAAGGCCCCTCCTATCACGATGTCCAACAGGAGATCCATAAAGCAAATCAACATACACTCACAAGTCCCTCATCAGTAAGTGGCTCCTTCCAACACGAAAACCGCTACCCGCCCACCTTACCTTTCAGCCGGACCCTCGTCCGTCGCCCGCCGGCGTCTCTTAGCTCCCGGAGTTTTTCTAGCAAATCTCCTGGTCAAGAAAGAAAGAACGTACGTGCGCCAAAAGGGTTAGGTGAGCAAGAAGACTTGGTTTCCAGCTCCGACCACGTAACGCCTTGACTGGAACCGATACGTCGATAAACTTGCCAACGCATCATTACTCACCAGCTGAAGAGTTCTAGCTAGTCCCCGTAACCTCTCAGCTCTAGTATGAGACGCCATAATTTGCAACATCCCACGCCCAGCGCGCTAATCCCGCGTTAACGAGAAAAGACCAACAAAAAGTCCGACGTTTGCGCTACGGGACGGACGGGCATTTCTCTGGGCTTCCTTCGTCTGTGCGGACCCTCGTGGGGGATGACACCAACACACACCAACTCCAAAATCCAAAGTGAACAAACTTTTTCTCGCTTTTTAATTATTTTCTCATCCATCCCCAGCAGCCGCCGATGGGGGGTGTGAAGAACCGCCGTGCAATCCGCACCTCGTCGCTGTCACGTTACTCGCTACTGAAGACTCGTGAGATTGCACATCCCTGCTGTCTCATCACCCACAAGCCAATCAACGCCCGTAACCCCCTGTCCGCCTGAGCAACAACCCCCCGTCGCGGGATCTCTGGCGGCTACGATTGGAGAAACTGACAAGGGCTAGGTTGCTGGGTTCGTCTTTCTCTCGTCTTCGATGTCATTGCAGAGAGCATGTCCGATTTTCATCTTGTTGCTCCAGTCTCGCTTCTGCAGGCCTCTTCGTTTGTGATTCAATCTCGTTGTCGATGGAAAATGCCAGGTTTGTGCTCTACCATTCGGAGTCAGCGAGACGATCGTTGCCCTTCACCGCTGCAAGTACCGAGTACATGAGTACATATGCGATGTGCGCCCTCTGAACCGGGAAAAAAGAGCCCAGAGATCTGCGATTACCGCAAAAAGCCGGGCAAAGCCACAGGGTTGCCGTTTT